CGGGCCAAAATTTATATATATTTTTAAATGTTTTTTTAATATTTGTATTCTATGTTTTTTATCTTGGCTGTACACCGCCCTGAGTCCTCAGGGAGAAGGGTGGTATATAAATTGGAAATTAAATTAAATTAAATTAAATTAAATGGCAGCTGCTTGCACAAGGGAAGGTCTACATGAGGGCAAGTTGCTACTGCTTGCACTAGGGGAGATTCATGCGTGACTGCAAGTGGCTGCTGCTTGCCCAAGGGGAGCTTCGCACTCAAGGACATGCTCACCCTCTGTTTGCACAGCCCAATTTGGAACAGTAGTGGGTCAGAGCCCAGGGGTTGGGGATTCCTGGTCTCATGGTTACAAAACAAGCTAGAAACCAGGACCACAACACCACTAGTTAAAGAAGACAGATAACTAAAGGGAAAAAGTATTAGAAACTTGAAATAGGAGTTGATCTACTGGCTTGTCCTGGAGCCTGACATCATGGGCTTAGAGAGAGTGACTGACCCAAGGTTACCAAGCCAGCTTTCATGCCTAAAGCAGACTTGAACTCACAGTCTGCTGGCGGGGAAGGCAGGTAAGATAAGTGCATTTTAATCACTGCATCAAATTGAACCAGACTACACAATTTATGCTGGCACAAAATCCGGAAAATGCTACTTTTGAGGCATAGCAGAAAAAGACAGTTGCTCTCCTGTGAGCTGAGATGGATAGAAGACGACGTGATGTGTTTCTGCCTTTAAAAAATGTTAATGGCCACCCATGATCTATATGATCAGCAACCTGATCATATAGATCATGGGTGTCAAACTTGCGGCGTCACGTTGCCGTCATGTGTCATTTCATGAAGTTTTTCCACTTTGCAGAGCTGGGATGGGCGTGGCCTGTGTGTGAGACACATCTGACCTGTAGACCACCAGTTTGACAACCCTGATGTAGATCAGATCCTTAGGCACTGAATATAAATACACATAAATAAATCATTACTAGAGTTGGGAGTGGTTCCTCAAACAGACAAGAATATCTTCCCAACACTGCTGATTAAGAGCATTTCTACAGTAACATTTTTAACATTAACGTTCAGTTAACATCTGTACTCTCTTTTGTTCTTTTGGGGATTTTCCTTTGTTTTTTTTTTACATTTTAATAATCTCTTTTTATATGTTTATTGTTTTAATTAGTTATTGTACGCAACCCACAGTTACGTTTTGTGAAATGGGTAACCATGTAAATAAATAAATATTTTTCAACACTTTGGGATTAATTCTGGATCTTATTGAACCCATGATGTCTGTTTTTAGAATTGAGGCAATTCATTTTTGACTCTGCTCTGTTGTATTTCAAATTGCAGCAAAGCTGATAGTTTCTTTTAGCTTACTACATATACAGAATAACAGAGTAGGAAGGGACCTTGGAGGTCTTCTAGTCCAAGCCCCTGCCTAGGCAGGAAACCCTGCACCACTTCAGACTAATGGTTATCCAACATCTTCTTAAAAGTTTCCAGTGTTGGAGCATTCACAACTTCTGGAGGCAAGTTGTTCCACTGATTAATTGTTCTAACTGTCTGGAAATTTCTCCTTAGAGAAATTTCTCCATATGGATGATCTGTTTTCACATTGATGGGAATTTTTGCTTTATCCTGTCCCAAACCTCCTAAATTCAAGCAAGCCATTGTTCCAGCTCCCAAGAACATTCATTTTCCTGTAACTTGTTTAGTGAATATGATTTATCTGCTAATATATATTTATTTTATCTTTTGGGCACATTAAAATTGAGTTACTACTTTTGTAGAGTCTCTGGAGAGTGTACCTAAACTTCTGTTTTATACTATAAAAAATAACTTGAATATGCTGATTATGTTTTATGTTTTATTTGATTTGTATACCGCCCTACTCCCGAAGGACTCAGGGCAGTGAACAACCACAAGATATGTTGTGCTAACATGTTGGTGTCAACTTTGTGATGCTCTGCCCTTAAACTGTCTTTTAGGCCTTCCAGTATTACACCCATTGCCACTGACTCCATCTATCTTATAACTGGTTGCCATCTTCTTTTCATTCTTTTCACCTTTCTCATCATTAGCACCTTCTCTAGGGAGCTAGGTTTTCACATAAAGTAGGATAATTTAAGCCAGGTCATTTATGCTTTGAGTGAGAACTCTGGGTAGATTTGTTCAATGGTCTGTTGTTGGTTTTTTTTGTTTGTTTGTTTGTTTTTTTGTTATTGACTATCCACAATATTATTTTCTAACACCAATGGTCAAAACCATACATATTATTCTTACCCAACTTCTTCAAAAATTCAACTTTTGTCTCCATAGAGTGTCATTGTGAATACAATTTCTTGCAATGTTCTGATCTTTGTAAATATAAATTTACATGAATATGTATGTATATACAGTATATATGTATGCATGCATAAAATCTTACAGCTTGGAATATCTTTTCCAAGAACTTTATGGCTATTCTGCCAAGTGCCCGTCTGCAGGATATTTTGATACTGCTTGTTTTTTTTTCACTGATAATGTTTGATCTGAAAGGAAAAATCTACTCAGTATCATTTCATCCATCATTTCAATATCTTTTCCAATTCAATGGGTGGTTGTAGTTATACCAATTGTCGTTAGTTGGTCTTCTTTATATTTAATTTTAGTCCCATTTGTTCACTATGGTCCTTGACTTTTATTAGTAGAGTTTTAAGCTTCTTTGTATTTTTGGGTTGTTGTCATGAACATAGCACAGATAATTGATGTTTGCCATTAAATTTAAAACCACACTCTCTTCCAAATGAGCTTTCTTAATATATATTCAGCATATAGGTTGAACAAATAAGAGAGAGTATATAGCATTAGCAGCCTTATCTTATTATTTTACTGTATCCATGCATATTTCAACTAATATTTTTAGTTTCCTTAGTGATTATGAGGGAAAGTATCTTCACTATGATTCAATATCCAGAGACACATAGTTTTGTCCCTATAAAAAGAATATTATCTCATCCAGGGATAAAAACCACTATGACTTCCATATTATAAAATGTATCATTCCAGCTTGAAATAGTTACTATAGAGCATAGTTCTCCAGGTTAGTTCTTTGGGAATGTGTTTGAATGCCAACGGTCAGATTTCCCATACTTTCTAAGTGCTGCAATTTCAACAAATGTAAACAAGTATAAAATGGATCATTTTACCATGAAAAACACAACCTTCACCTTTATAGTAATGAGATTTTTGTTCGGAATAACTAAGCAAGACATTGGCCTGTAGTCTCAGTGGACAACTCAATTAGAATGTCAATCCAATGTGCAACTGACATAAAAATGGAAAAATTCATGTTTGGTATCTTAGAAAGGGAATTGAAAAAGAATAGCATAATGCCATTATATAAACCTATAAGAGGATAGACAGATAGATAAATAGATAGATAGATAGATAGACAGATAGATAGATAGATAGATAGATAATGTGTATATATGTGTGTGTGTGTGTGTATGTGTGTGTATGTATATGTATATATATATGTATATGTATATGTATATGTATATACCCTGTTTTCCCAAAAATATGACCTACCCTGAAAGTAAGTCCTAGCTTGATTTTTACACGTGCGCCCAATATAAGCCATACCCCCAAAATAAGTCCTAAATAAGTTCCTGAAGGCCTCTGACAGTGAAAAGGAGGTCAGGAGTGACACGCACAAGTGAGATTAGTCAGTGGATGACATCCCCCGAAAATAAGACCTGGTGCCTTTTTTGGTAGCAAAAAAAAATATAAGACAGGGTCTTATTTTTGGGGAAACACGGTATATGTATGTATATATATGTGTGTATGTATGTGTCTGTATATATGTATGTATGTATGTATATGTGTGTATGTGTACGTGTATGGAGGGGGGGAGACAATTATAATCACTGCATCTTAAAAAGAAAAGTATAAAATATAAAATAGGTCAGTGATGGAATAATTCTCCTGAAAGGAAAGACTACAGAAATCAAGGCCCTTTAGGTTGGACTGAAGGAGAAAAAAGGGAGGCATGATAAAGGTATTTAAAATCACAAGCATTATTTGTTAGATGGATCAAAAGAAATTCTCAGTGTGTTAGAACTGAAAGTCATCCATTGAAACAAAACATAGTGAAATTCAGGACATGTGGTCAATGGATACCCCCCAATAGCTACTAATATGAATGGTTGTTTATAGGAGTACATATTAACCATAAAATATATTTTAAGTTAGAATAAACATTTGCATTTTGGAAGTTCTGATGAACAGTTTTCTTTTAGCTGTAGACTTGGGGAGGGGGGACTAATATTTTGAATGTTTTGAATTTTGGCTAAAATAACATTTTAGTGGTGCTAAGAAATGTTTTACAGATGAATGGTTCCAGGCTGGGATAAAACAACCCAAATTCAAACTGGAAAGTTTAAGTATAGAAATTAAGAGGATATCTTTAAATTATTCAACCATTAATTGATATTATTTTTGTCATTGTCATTTTTTCCTAGAGTGTATTTATGTCTTAAGGAGGAATTGCCATGTATATGTATAGATGTGATATTGTGTCATGGAACATCTACTACTATTATATTGGCATATTATTCCATATTGAATAAGAAGTTGTAATCTTTTATAGAGAGATTGGATAAAGAACTAAAGTCCCAGCCCACAGATGCATTTAGCTATTGTTTTAGTTCAATACCTAATAAAGAGAACTGGATGGACCAAAATTTCATTAAGGTGGTACTTTGTTTTTAGCTGAAGAAATGACAAAACGAAGGAAATTTTGTTGTAATTTAATTTTCAGAATTTAAACTGCAGAGTGAGTTCCAATCAGAGATGAAATTCAGGTTCAGAGAAAAAGAGAGACATGCTCTAATTTATGTATTTTTTTAAAAAAATGTGTTATTTAACCTCATAACATGAAACATTATAAAATGTAAGGATGTAATTAATATTCAAACTGATTTATACAGTTTAATTCATTCTGGTAATTACTGTGCTTTGCTTGTAGGTTGTTTATAAAAACAATGATGTAAGACTAGAATTGTCTCGACTGGCCAAACAAGGAGATCCTAAGATGAAGATCCATGGTGTCGTGGCATTTAAGTGTGAAAATGTGGCAACCTTGGATCCAATCACTTTTGAAACACCAGAATCCTTTATTTCTTTGCCTAAATGGAATGCCAAAAAAACAGGCTCAATATCCTTTGACTTTCGCACTACTGAGCCCAATGGGCTGATTCTCTTCAGCCACGGCAAACCACGACATCAGAAAGATGCAAAACATCCACAAATGGTTAAAGTTGACTTCTTTGCCATTGAAATGCTTGATGGGCACCTCTACCTGCTTTTAGACATGGGATCTGGAACAATTAAAATAAAAGCTTTGCAGAAAAAGGTGAATGATGGAGAGTGGTACCATGTTGACTTTCAAAGAGACGGACGATCTGGTAAGTTTTGACAAAAATGCTCATGAACTTTAAATCCTTCAAAGTATAAAAAATACAAGAGAAAAATGTGTATTCAGTATTATTCTAGAACAACAAAGCAATTTATATTTTGAAATATTTAATTAGTATTTTGAATGGTCTTCCTGAATAAATTGGAAAGTTTGAACAGTACTCAGCAGATAATAAAATGATGCTTATTTTGTGAGTATTTTCAGTAATTATTAGGAAACGTAATTCTCATATACTGCCCCAACACAAAAGAGTTATGGAGAATAATATAAAAATAATAAAAATAACAACAACATAAAAGACCTGTGAACTATTAGTATCCTTTACATCACACATAAAATGATTCCATTTTTCTTCAGGTACAGAATTGATGCATTAGTAGTTGTACACTACTCATATTTTTTTTTCAAAAAACTTAACTTTGTTGAAAAATAAATGATCAATGAACAATTGGCACTGACTGATTCATAATGCATCAAGGAAATGCATCTATATATGAATAAAACATTAGAAAACATCATTGGTGTAATTGTATGTATCATAAAATACAGTTACATTTTGATTTCTGTTAGTTGTACTATTAAGTTCTTCATATATTGTATGGATTAATCTCTGCTGAGGAAAAAAGAATCAATTCAGAGTTAAATCAGATTTTCATGGGAATAGTTTTCCTCAACAAAATATTGCATTATCAGATGTGCACAATTTATTTTGTGGAATTCTTCTACTAAAATATAACCAGTAAAAATAAAATAGCACATAAATTTTACATCTAGGCTTTCCACACTTCTTGGTGTATCAGTTTTCTAGGGAAGAAAAAGGTACAACTGGAGAAATGCTAATATATGGATATGGTTTGTTTATGGTGTGGCTGTGTAACTTGTTTGATTCCAAGCAACTGGACAAATGCTGTTAATATTCTCTTTTACTAAGAGAAAGTAATCAATAAATAGGAAACACTCCATATTAAGTGTGGCTGGGAAGCTGCTTGGAAGAATTTTCAGTAAAATGATGACAATGAGCAAAACTTAGGAAAACCAGTGTAATTTCATGCCACACAGGAGGTGCACAGATAGAATTTTAGTTCTTCAGCAAGACAATGAGAAATACATGAATATGAAAGAAGGTTTACTGCATATTTGTAGGTTTAGAGTAAGTACGTTATAAAGTGAATAGGCTTGAATTATGAAGCTTTTTGTATGAATATGGAGTTGAAGGCTGGTTGCAAAAGACAATCACTGAAATATATAGAAGAAAGCAATGAGTGAAAATAAATGGAATGCTTAGTGAATATTTCATTATTGATCAAGGTATAAGAAACAATTTTGTGGTTGTTCAATACATTTAACATTTAGATACATTGGTTTTTTTAATGAATTTATGGATAATGTGTAAGGGATGCTTGTGGTGATATTAGAAGTGTGTTGGTTGGGAGTATGGATGTATATACATATTTGTATGCAGAATAAACTGAGAACAAAAAATATGGTTAATATTTGGTTGTATGATGGAATAAGGATCTGAAAAGTAGTTATTAAAAATTAAAGCAAAAAGTGAGTGAAGAATTATAAATTATATATAAATTTTGGGAAAAAAAACAAAGATAGGTGAAATATGTGCACTTCAAGGTCTTGATTACCACCTTTAGAGCGCTCCCTGGCTTAGGACCGGGGTATCTACGAGACCGCCTTCTGCCACCAATAGCCTCTCACCGACCAGTACGCTCCCATAGAGAGGGTCTTCTCAGAGTGCCGTCAGTCAAACAATGTAGACTGGCGGGCCCCAGGGGGAGAGCCTTCTCTGTGGGGGCACCTGCCATCTGGAACGAGCTCCCCCCAGAGATACGGAGGATCCCAGATCTGCACACTTTTCACCGCGCCCTCGAAACATTCTTATTCCAGCAGGCTGGTCTGGCCTAACCTCCCTTTTAATTGTTTTTAAATTGGTTTTATAATTGGGGTGTTTTAAATCTGGCCAATGTATTTAATGTATTTTAAAGGGTTTTTAACATTTGTATTATGTATATTTTACTTTCTGGCTGTTCACCACCCTGAGTCCTTCGGGAGTAAGGCGGTATATAAATTTAATTATAAATAAATAAATAAATAAATAAAAATATTGTTCCTTACAGATAAAGCCTTTATTTATTAAGTGTACCTTGGATTCAACTTTGACATGAAACTAAAAGGAACTTATCATATTGCAAGGAATGTTTTATTATACTATAGAATTTAAGCCACCCAGAATCATTTAGTTGAATTCGGTAGCTACAGAAATTGATTGATTGATTAATGGAATGAATGAATGAATGAATGAATGAATGAATGAATGAATGAATGTTATTTATCATAATGTCTATAGGTTCTGCCTGTGGTAAATAATAAGATTTTCACATATCTTAGAGAAATGTTTCTTAAAGAGGAGAAATGATACATAAATGCTAAGGTACGATAGAATTGCAAAAACAAATACATGTAAGAAGAGTGAAAGAATTGAGATGAATAGAAGATCAGGAAAGTTGTAGTTGAATGAAGTTGATGAGATCCTGGAAAAGACAGCTCAGAAGTGTTTTTTTTTTTTTTAAAGACAATATATAAAGCACTCTATAGATGTAGTGGAAGCCAAAATGGTTTGCAAAAATAATTAAGTTAAGGAGATATATAATGAATTGTGTTAAAGTAAGTCTTCCTATTTCTTATTCCCTTTTCTACTACATAAAACTTCTTATCCTGGAAGAGAATAGTGTAGTAGCTATGGATGTGTATATGTTTAAACTTTCATGTTCACTGAAAATTACTTTCAAGGGCTGCTATTTAACTTCCTAAGGAAAAGATACTAGCTTCTTGGGTTATATTCTTCTACTTTTACTTGATTTTTATTTTTTAGAGTGTAAAGACAAAGCCTATATTATATTTCAGTTTATGAGTGTCAGGAAATTTTAGTCATTTTATTAAAAAACAGTAAAAAAAAAATACCATATTTACAGACTTCAGGAATTGCTCACTGCTGATTTCCCTATGCAAAATCTCAGGAGCAAAGATATTGTTTTCTGCTAACATGAAATGTCAGAAGGAGGAGATGGAGGAGGGGGGAGGAGGAGGAAGAGGAGGAGGAGGAGGAGGAGGGGAAGAGGAGGAAGAAGAAGAAAACACCATTGCCTTGTTCAGGTTCTGCATCAACAAAAACTGCAAAAAGAAAAAAAAAACCATACAAAAACTCAGAAATTTGACACTGTGTAGCTGGTCCAATGAGCAAGATAAGGCAAAACTGATAAAACATTTACTACTTAAATAGTCTTTTAAATACTTAAAGCTAGCATTTCTCTTGCAGGACCTTAAGTGGTCTCAATGACACTGCAAGTGAAACAAATAGAAAGCAGCAAATAAAAAACAGCACCATAGGAAATTTGTTCCAAAAGAGTTATCAATTTGAACCGTCATGTGGAAGTAACTTTATTGAGATGAAACTTTTATTGGACCAGATATAAAAGATCTGATTTAACTTGACATTGGTCCACAAAATACTACATTCCATAAAAATGTAGAAAGTTATAAGATTGTATGTATGGATTTTAGTGTTACCTTTTTGGGGGAAATAATAGGCAGCCTTATCAGGATCATAGATGTTAGTATATATTATTTTCCAATGTACACATTATTTAAAAGTAATATTAAAAGGGCTTATTTTTTTAAGTCTTCAGCTTATCTCACCATTGACTGGCTTTCCAGCCGAAGTGCAAAACAAGAAATACATGGAAATGTTAGAAATCAATTTTGTTTTCATCTCACTGCAGTTATTTTGCTTGAATCTGAAACTACAGGTAATTGGAAATAGTTTCTCTGAACAAGTTAGGATTAAACCAGATTGGTTACAAGAAACTTAATTTGTTTCAGATGAAGCAACAAAGTGCAGTTAGTCACAAATGGAAACATGCTCAGCATCCTATCTTCATTTCAGTAGTGGGTTCCACTTACCTTTGCTACCGGTTCGGAACTGGGGCGAACCAGTAGAAACCCACCACTGCTTCATTTACAACTTGTAAGCTGTTTAGTGACTGATTCTACCAGTGTAGTAAGGAAAAGGACGCTACTCAGCAGCCAAAGTAAGCCATCCCTCCCCTTCCTGCTTCTGTTGCAGTACAGTGGTAGATAGTGGAAATGCTAATGACTGTCAGATGAGCAATTGAAGAGGGACAATTCAGACAAAAGTGGCATCTTAACAGAGCTGATACTGTCCCTATTTCCTTTCATTTCCTCTGCTATTGCCTGATGTAATGTTGCTGCCAAGTCTCAGTTTTACAAAGCAGACTTGTTAAAATGAAATTGCTGAGATAATGAATATAATTGAAGAGGCTCATTAACTCATACCTATGGGAAATGTTTGTCTGTTGCTACAGTGCCAACCTTGCAGGTAAAGCAGAGAGGAGGAGGTGAGAAAGTAAGAGGCTGGAAATCCCACAAAAGCATTCGGCAAAGCTTTGCTGTCTGTGCCTTTTGCAACCTGTCAAAATAGCAGTAACAATTATGTTATGAGGCTACTTGAGCACTTCAATGTTTTGTTCAACTCTTCAGAATGTGAAAAGAAAAAGGAAGGGAGCCCTTCACAAGGGTTTCCTTAACCAGGCTGCTATTCAAACATCTGGAAAATCATGATTGTGTTTTTGAATCAGACAAGAAATTCAATATGGTCAAATTCTACTTCCACATACCAGTGTAAATCAGACTATATAAACAGTTTGTTTTCACTGCTAAGCCTACATTTAACAGCTAAAATGTCATTGAATTTTTGAATTAAAACCTGAATTCCAGTTTAAGTGCTAGAAATTATAGGGTGGAAGGAGGCTCATGCCTTTTTTTCCCTGAGTATATAATTAGAGGCTTGGAATAATCACAGTCTCAATCAGAGTAGCATTTTCCAGATATCCATTTCATTGTTGGAAGTATTTCTTTCCTTTTCTCTATTCCCTTATGCAATCTAGGAGGGTTTTTTTT